TCCGTTTTCGAGATAATTGCATATGCAAAAGTTTAATAATATTATCTAATTGCGACAATTTATCGAACTGTAACATCAAATAAAAATATATTGAAACAAAACATGCGAAGAAAATCAATTAAATGCAACACCAACACAAGAATATTTCGAAACGAAACATCGCCGCAAACGTTTTTCAAAGTGAATCATGGAAAACAAATTTTATTGAAATGTAACACGCGGTGTTTCACTTTGAAAAATTCTCTGCCGATGTTACACTTCAAAAAAATCTTTTTCTGGTGTTTCATTTAAATATGCTGTGGAAATATGTCTTGTTTTCAATCTCACCCATTCATATGTATGTAATTGTTAGAATAATGATAATTGAATAATTGAATCACATATATGAAATTTTTTTATATTAGATTAAATGTTATTGTTCGTCCATTTTCGCTTTTCGGTTATCACGAAAAATAACGGTACTGTTTCTACTAGAAGCTGAGTGGTGGTGCATTGGAGAGAAAGGCACTCATTGTTGTTTCCATTACCCCCTCCCTCCCTCACAGAGAAACGTTTTTTACGACTTTCAATGAGTAGAACGATCTGTTTAGTTGAATAGAAGCGCTGGAAATAAATAAAAGAATTTTTATGGTCTTGTTATGGGCTCTTCAATATTTTTTGTTCTATTACCGTCAAAGATTTCGGCTATTTGGAGTTCTTTTTCCAATTCGATCGGATCGCCCTTCAAGTTGACGGTAAAATTTGCATCAGGCTTCAATGGCAAATACGGTTTTGGTGGAAATGGTGCATCTGACGCCTTTTTATCTACTTTGTCCCAATCAATACCGTTGAAAATGGGATCGGATTTCAAGTCTGGAAGAAAAAATAAATACCTAATAGCTGTTTTCTAAAGTAGGACGCAACTCGTCATTGAAAACTGTAGATTCCACTCTTCATTATACAATTTATATATAATACAGCTTTAATTGTATGTTATACCTGGCAACTGGGCAGTTTTCATATTTTCAAATTTCTGCTAGATTTCATAGACATTTACATGAGTCTCGCATAAACTTTCGACAAATTGAATAAATTGGTACCAGTCCATATCGAATGCACTTGTATCCCGACGAGAAATTTGCGGAATATCGCATTGCGACTATTCTACGTATAGTCGCAATACGAAAAAGTCCGTCGAACGCAGCCAACTTCACGTTGGTTGTACGAAGTTTCAAGTCGAAATATCACACTCGATTCAGTTACAACTTCACATTTATCGCAGCGCGAATAGTCGCAGGGTATTCAGCGATAACATTTTGCGGCAACTTTTATTGTGGATACCTATTCGCATTGCGAGTATCCGCACTCAAAAACGGATATGCGACGGATAGTCGACGTACACCTATTTCACCGCAAATTTCTCGTCGGGTATTATCTGGTGAAACAATCTCTGAGCAGCCATAATCGGTGAGCGCAATGTGACCATCTGCACGCACCACTATGTTGCTGTCCAACACATCATGATGGACGATGTTAGCCGAATGTAATTTTTCGATGGCCACTATTACTTCAGCCAGTATGGCTGGAAGCTGTTGCGATGTAAACTTTCTCTAAAACAACACTAAATTAGGACGATTACTGGTTTTAAATATTAACGACGGTTTTTGATCAAAATGCTTTATCTCCAAATGTCAAGCCAATTTTGATTGTTTATGTTCAAAACGTCAAACTCATTTGAATTGACTCAAGTATACTTTTGTTAATGCTGTAAAGTACCTAGAAAAGAAATAGAAAATATAAAATGATAAACTTTGACTTGACCTGTAACTGTTTATTAAGGAATAAAAACTTTATCAAGGAAATGACAATAATTTTGGCTACAATTTTTAAAAATCAATGAACAGTTTTTATTTTCATTATAATGAGACGAAAAAACAGATCGATTTGTAATTGCTCAACCAACGTTTTTCCGTTGTTTTTTCAAGCGTTTCTTTGTTTGCTTCTTTGAATGTGTCTTCCTCGTGTGTATTTTCATGTGAAGTTTCATCATATATTTCTTTTGAAAAATTTTGTTACAAATTGAGCATGGAAATTGTTCGGGGAATGGTATGCCATGCACTTTGAATTTATGCCGTATAAGAGCGGAAGAATAGGGAAATGTTTGGTTGCATCCATCAATTGTGCACTGAACTGTTTTCTCAGCCATATGAGTTTTCATGTGATTATTTAGATTACTTGTCGCCCTAAACGATTTATCACACCCTTCGTGTAGACATTTGAATCGCTTTTCACCAGTGTGGATAGCCATGTGATATTTGAATCCTTGCACCGTTTTTAAATATACACCACACACGGAGCACATTAGCTGTTCGTTGCGCTCCCTTACATGCACATGTTTCCATTTCATGTGCGAATCAATGTTTGATTTCTGTAAGAAAATTTCTTTGCACACATAACACTCGTATGTCCTATGGAAATAAGCTTTATTTTTCGGTAATGGTTTTCCGAGCATTTTCTGATCATATCTGCGTTTTATTGGACATTCGCCTTGATGATTGAGCAGTTCATCTTCAGTTGAACATATCTTTGCACAAAAGTTGCAGAAGATAGTATCTGGCGTCGCACCATGTTTGCGGATCTTATGAAATCTTAGTATTTTTGCCACCGAAAATTTTTTTCCACATACATCGCACACGCAACCACCAATCTTCAAGTGTACATAGTTATAATGCTTCCGCATGCTTCTTTGAAACACAAACAATCCACATGTTTCACATTGAATTTTTTCCTGTGGTTCATTCGAATGTAGTTGTTGCATGTGTCTAGTAAGGTTTTGTTTCGTTTTTACCCTCCTTTTGCACATGAAGCACTCAAAAATTCTATGAAAATCATCTTGATTTTGTTGTGTGAGTTTTTGCCGTTGCATTTTCTGCCGATGCTCGTCTTTCATTGGGCATTCATTCTGATGACTCAGCAGATCGTCTTTAGTGGGAAATACCGTGTCGCAAAAGTGACAAAGTGTTTCGGATTTTACTACTTTTTCCATTGATAACATGTCATGAATGTGTTTTTTACCATGTACACTCTGTCTGTGTCTCTGGAGGTTGCCTTTATGGAAGAACGTTCGGTCACAGTCATCACATTTTGCATATGTTTTCTGATCGCGTTTCTTGAAATTCGGATCACGATTGTGATTCCATTTCATGTGATTACGGAGAGAGTCGTCTGAGCTCATAATCTTGTGGCAAATACTGCATTGATTTTCACCAACCATCAAATTCGTTAAATTTTTCTTCTGCGATTGAACTTCCGTTTCAAGCTTTTGATTACCGTTTAGATGCATACGTTCACCAAAGTCTTCAATTTTCTCTTGTTCACTATTTTCAGGCAGCTGAATCGCCGAGGACGAAGCATGAGAGTGCGATGCGCCATGTACACTTATCTTATGTCTCTGCAGGTTGCCTTTATTGTAAAGTATTCGGTCACAAACATCACACTTTATATATGCTCTTTGATCGGGTTTTTTGAAGTTCGAATTGTGATTCCATTTCATGTGATTACGGAGAGATTCGGCTGAGCTCATAATCTTGTGGCAAACGTTACACTGACGTTCGTTGACCATCTTTTCATTTTCCATTTGCGTTCGAATTGCCTTCTTAATTTCTTGAAAGTCGCTTAGATCCATACTTTCGTCAGAGTCATCGAATTCATCTTGTTCATATCTTTCAGGCATATCAATATCAATTTCTGGTTCTCTCTTAACATTGGATTCCTCAATCAATGAATAATCCGCTTCCAACCCTTTTTCTATGACAAACAGATTTTCTTGGTGTGCTATTTGCTGTTTACCTTGTTGTTGAACGTCGCTACTGCTAGGCATTAATCTCTTTTCGACCATGTCATCAACTTTGTAACTACGCTCACTCTCCAATTTCTCTTTCCACTTGCAATTTCTGACATGAATATCCAATGTCGGCTCCGATAAAAGCACTTTCCGGCAATATTCGAATGAAAATTTGGTACAATTTGGGTTAGGTTCAATTTTATTTGAATGGAACGGGTCGTCAAGCTGTTGACTGTATCCGACATCAGCTGGTTCTCTTTTAATTTCTAGTTGTTGGGCGCAAATTGATTTAGAACTGATCGCAACAGCAGCAAAGCCACCACCACAATTTACACTATCGAAATCAAGAGGATTTTCATTCGCCACCAAAGAATCCGTTGTAGCAGAGGTTGATAAGCAATGATCTTTTTTCACAACTCTCTTGATGCACGTCACTGTGTCATGTAGAGTATACAAATTGGCACCGATTCGAATCAAATTTTGATTGCAGTCGGCACAAGTCTCTTGGGCAAAGTGCTCCAGAGTGTGATCATCTTTTGCAGCGGCACTGCCGAATGTTTGTGGACAGAACAAGCACTGGTGAACTGAAAAAAATATATATTTATTGACATCTGTCGATTGTATCACCCATTCAAGACCTTACCGGTTATCGTTCCACTCATTTTTTCATGAGGTTTATTCACTTGAATCAAAGATTTTTATTATTTCCCTGATATCCTGCTTCCGACTTGATTTTTGCATTTCTTCAATTTTTCGACTCAATTCCATTGTTTATATTCGAAACGTCAAATGTCAGATTTCAACGTTGGGTGTTAAGTAATGGTAAAGTACCGGAGAGGAGAAATAAAACAATATTCGCTGAGTATTTGAATTTCAACTGGAAATGATGATTAAATTGTTATTCATGAATTTAATAATGATAAAAACGATAGTTTTTAATCCATCGTAATTTATCTTTTTGAAAAAATTTAATGCCATTAAAATTTATGATTTATGAACAAACCTTACCTTCTTTTGATTCATCCATATTTTCGTGTAGCAAGTCTTTTTAAATTCGCAATTGTTTTATTTCATTTCAATTTTCTGAGCTTCGCTGTTTACGTTTTGTACTTTACACTGGAGCGGAAGCAACATAGCATTGGTTTGTTTGCTTAGATCGGTTTTATGATTATCATCAATATTTTAACATTACCTATAAACACCCCTATTATTTAACCGACCATTCTTGAAAAAAAAAACGGTTATAGCGGTAAGAAATCACATTTTCTTTGATTCAACTTCCAGAGAAAGAATTTTATTGGAAATTCAAACAAAATGGAGTTTTCATTAAATGATAATGGTTTATTTAGTGTTCTAGCTAATCTATTTGTGTTCAAAATCTAGATGAAAATCAGTCATTTCGTCATGGGTATGCAATGCACATCGAGTTTATGTTTTTTTAACGGATTCAACCAGGTAAATTCTTCATGACATCCATCGATTTTGCAGCGAAAAGGCTTTTGTCCCAGATGAACAGTTTTGATATGATGTATCTTGTGCGATGGCGTTCGAAAATATTTATCACATCCATCATGTGAACATTTGAATGGCCTCTCTTTTGTGTGCGTGTATTCATGCAGTTTCAATTTTTGTGAAGTTTTGAATGATTTCCCGCAGATTTCGCATACAAAGTTGCGAACATTTAAATGCGTGAGCCTGTAGTGTTTTTCATAACCCGATTTACAAGCGAAAGACCTGTTGCATGGTTCACACTTGAATTTTTTTCCGTTACTATGAATTAAAAGAAGATGCGCACGAAGTATTTCTTTTGTTTTGCTCATTTTATGGCATATGTAGCATTCGAATACTTTATCCGCATCCGTGCAGTTTTTCACTCGTATTTTATGTACATTTTCTCTGTGTCTCTGAAGGCTGCCTTTATTGTAGAACGTTCGGTTACAGTCATCACATTTTGCACATACTTTCTGATTGCGTTTCTTGAAATTCGGATCACGATTGTGATTCCATTTCATGTGATTACGGAGAGAGTCGGCTGAGCTCATAATCTTGTGGCAAATACTGCATTGATTTTCACCAACCATCAAATTCGCTACATTTTTCTTCTGCGATTGAACTTCCGTTTCAAGCTTTTGATTACCGTTTAGATGCATACGTTCACCAAAGTCTTCAATTTTCTCTTGTTCACTATTTTCAGGCAGCTGAATCGTCGACGACGAAGCACGAGAGTGCGGTGCGCCATGTACACTTATCTTATGTCTCTGCAGGTTGCCTTTATTGTAAAGTATTCGGTCACAAACATCACACTTTATATATGCTCTTTGATCGGGTTTTTTGAAGTTCGAATTGTGATTCCATTTCATGTGACTACGGAGAGATTGGGCGGAGCTCATAATCTTGTGGCAAATGTTACACTGACGTTCGTTGACCATCTTTTCATTTTCCATTTGCGTTCGAATTGCCATCTTAATTTCTTGAAAGTCGCTTAGATCCATACTTTCGTCAGAGTCATCGAATTCATCTTGTTCATATCTTTCAGGCATATCAATATCAATTTCTGATTCTCCCTTAACATTGGATTCCCCAATCAATGAATAATCCGCTTCCAACCCTTTTTCTATGACAAACAGATTTTCTTGGTGTGCTATTTGCTGTTTACCTTGTTGTTCAACGTCGCTACTGCTAGGCATTAATCTCTTTTCGACCATGTCATCAACTTTGTTAGTACGCTCACTCTCCAATTTCTCTTTCCACTTGCAATTTCTGACATGAATATCCAATGTCGGCTCCGATAAAAGCTCTTTCCGGCAATATTCGCATGAAAATTTGGTACAATTTGGGTTAGGTTCAATTTTATTTGAATGGAACGGGTCGTCAAGCTGTTGACTGTATCCGACATCAGCTGGTTCTCTTTTAATTTCTAGTTGTTGGGCGCAAATTGATTTAGAACTGATCGCAATAGCAGCAAAGCCACCACCACAATTTACACTATCGAAATCAAGAGGATTTTCATTCGGCACCAACGGATCCGTTGTAGCAGAGGTTGATAAGCAATGTTCTTTCTTCACGGCTCTCTTGATGCACGTCACTGTGTCATGTAGAGTGTACAAATCGGCACCGATTCGAATCAAATTTTGATTGCAGTCGGCACAAGTCTCTTGAGCAAAGTGCTCCAGAGTGTGATCATCTTTATCAGCGGCATGGTTGAATGTTTGCGGACAAAACAAACATTGATGCACTGAAAATAGCTTGATTTTATTGAATTTTCCAATTTCCATAAAATATACTATATAAGCCCTTACCTGCTATAGATGCAGTCATCTTCACTGTAAAAGTATCCTAGTAAGGATAAAAATTTACTAAATAATTTCTATGGCTCAATAGTAAGTAGTCCTGGTTAATTCAATGAATCAATATTTGTTTAGAAATCAATTTGTTGACTATAATATTTGACACAGCAAACGTCATACGCTGTGGACTCATATTTATTCTTAAGTAAAGCGCTGTACTTTAGAATACAAGAAAGAATGAGACATTTGTAGTAAATGCTTTTTTTTTGAATTCGAAATGATAACTTTTGTCTATTTTTCCATTTATCAGCTAAATTTTTTATTTACCAAAATGACATTGTAGTGTGTGATAGACAATATTTTCTATTACATGTTTCAAAATCAAATAAGTCATAAATACACGAGAAACAAATTTATCTTATATGGCTATGTTTTCGCATGTGTTTTTTCAATAGATATATTTCGTTGGATAAATTGCATTACCAATTGTACATGAAAATTTTTCTGTGAATGGTATACCATGAATTTCGAGTTTATTCCGTTCAAGACCTTCAGAACGGACAAATCTTTCATTGCAATTGTCGATCGTACAATAGTGTGGCTTGGGGTTCGTATGAGCTCTCACATGTGCATCTCGATTACCTGTGCGTCTAAATAGTTTTTCACATCCTTCGTATAGACACTTAAGAAACGGCCTTTCGCCTGTGTGTATGTGTGTGTGTGTGTGTGGCGATGTGATACCTCAGTGCTGCAATCCCCGACAAATATTTACCACAAATATTGCACATTGGCTTTCCATCGTGATCATCTTGAGTCGGATGATTCGATTGCATGTGCATGTGCATATCCAGATTTCGTTTCGTTTTGTACATTCGATTTTTGCATACATAACACTCGAATGTTCTGCGGATATGGTGCTGGTTTTCTTGTATTCGCTTCCGTTGCCGTTGTTGATACTGTCTATGTTTCAACCGGCATTCATCTTGATGAATTTGCAATTCATCAACGCTTGAAAATACAGCGGCACAACGGTGACAAAAAATTGTTTCTACTGCACTATGCATGCGAACTTTATGGCCCCGAAATGTGTGTGCTTGTTGAAGCATATTCATTATCACATTCATCGCATTTCTCATTTGTTCTTTCGCTGCATTTTTGCGGTGTGGATTTCTTCGGCATTTGGTCGATATGGGATTTGAATTTTATACAGATTGGATGTTGCAGTCGCATATGTCTCAAATAGGATTGTCTATGTTTCAATTTCACAAACGGTGCACTCTTTCGGATCGATATCTGAACTGGACTGTGTCATAGAGTGTTCATTTTTGAGAATTTCATTCTTCTGTTTCGTTCCAACCACTGATTGATGTGGCCCTGGTTCTTGTATTTCGATAAAATTTGACTGACCGTCAAACGGTTGGTTTCCTTCAATGTCATATCGTTCTTCTTTAATCACTATCGGTTCTGTGTAACTCGACTGCGAAATTTTCGATTCCAGATGACACTCATTCAGCAAAGAATGTAGATCTGCTGGCACTCGACGTGAAAGGCCATTCTCTCCTGGAAGACCTTCAGTCTCAACTTCTGTTTTTAGAGGAATGAATACCAATACATTCATCCGGTTGTTTATTTAGTACAAGCGGATGCTCAATGAAACACGATTCGAAATGTTGCTCCGCTCTCAATTCTCTTTTGATACAAGTAACCGCGTTGTGTAGTGTATACAAATCGCCACCAAATCAAGTTTTGATTGCAGTCGGCGCAAGTCTCTTGAGCAAAGTGCTCCAAAGTGTGATCATCTTTCTCAACGGCACTGCCGAATGTTTGTGGACAAAACAGACACTCGTGAACTGCAAGAAAAAAAAAACAATGTTAATTGCCACACAATCATTTGATTATTCCCACATTCACATTATATTAGCACATTCAAAGTCTTACCCGCTCTCATTCTAGTCATATTTTTGTATGATTACCTTGCAAGCACCAGTGAATCAAACCAATTTCATCATTTGATAGCGATGGATTTCTATCCGAATGTTCACATTTCCAAATTTAAATACAAAACGTCAAACTGAGTTGGATTGACTTGAGTATTTTTTGTTTATGTTTTAGAGTATTCGAAGGAGAAATTGAGCTGGTACAAGTACATACATGTATAATGACATATTGTGTATCGTATGCCGCTATAATGTATAAATTATGATATTCTCTCACTTTTCCTCGATTTTGTAATGCGAACTCTGTTCCTGATAACTTCTGCTTAATCGTTTTATTTACTAAAAAGGTCAAGCTCGGGAAAAGCTGTCTGTTTTTTTTCCAAAACAATACAATCTTTCATATTTACTCAATCACATTCTTACAAAATCAATGTTATCATTCGAATTTAATAGAATCAATCAAATGGTATATTTCTGGATTTTGAGTGAAAACTCAGTATTTTTGCAATTAAATTCGAAAATGTGATCGATTCCAAAAGTAATGCGGTTTATATCCGTGGAACAATCCAACGCCTGGAATTTCATGGAAGATGCGATATCGAGAACGATGACCAATTTGGTTTGATCTATCGTAGATTAGTGGTGTTGGTCGGCGATGTCTCAGTTGAATGTTTGATTCGTTCAGAAATGAAATTGCCATATTCCTCAAGTAAACGCATGTTTTCGAGACTTGTTGCAGTGTTTGCAAATCAGTTCGTAGGTATCTGAAAAGTGTCCACAATATTTCCTTGGGCATTCCATGTAATGCGGCATTTGGATAGGCACTTTCATACATTGCCACATTGCGTGATGGTGAAATCAGATTTTGCTTGATGGTTTCATTCAATTTTCGAACATTTCGAAAGAAATTCAGCGGACTTTGTAAAATATGGTCGACATTCGATATTTCATTGGCACTGATGAATTCGCTTACGGGTAAAATGACACTTGTAGAGTGTTCTTGTCGGCTCAAACAGAATATAACGCACAAAGCAGCTCCACCGAAGATTTTCCGGATGATCAATTGCATGTCGTCATTCGAATGTTGCAGTAAATTCAATTTGAACTCATAAATTTGCTCCGTTTGACCGGCAGTTGATGCAGTCGCATTGTGTTGCAACTGGTGGTATTGTTGCGAGATCTCGTTGGCTGCAATTTTCCATGAGTAATCGGGAATTTGTGCGACAAAACTATAGCCCCAGTGCACATGTATCTTCGATTTCAGTTCAGCTGGTAGTGTTGCGGGACCAAATCCGGATTCAAGGAATAAATAATAGACGACAGCTATCAGGAACTCAGTAGGCGCTTTTATGTTGCTTTGACATAAGTTGTGTAATAGACGCTCAAGTGACAATGGCAACTTGTTGCTTTGATACACTTCCTCTAACAACATGAAGTATTGTGGCTCATGAGTAGAGGACGATTGCTGTACAACATCTAAAATTGAAAGAAAAAAAATATGAAAATGATTGATAGTGACTTCCATCGGTTAGATTACGTCGAATATTGGGCCTCATATGCTATTACTCACAATCATCGTCTTCGTTTGTGACTTCCTTACGTCTTTTAGCTGGAGATTGTGGAATTGATGTTGGTCCCGATGGATTTTGTTGCTCCTTCGCTCGATTAGACTCGGATTTGTCTGACGTTGATGCACCTTTTTCCATTGTGATTTACCAAATCTCAAATAAAAATTAAAGCAAGTTCTGGATTAGATCACGTTGATAATGTTCTATTGACTGCGAACAAATACGAATTGCTGCTCAATATTTTTCTCATGTCATGATTACCCATTGTTTACGTTTGAAACGTCAAATTCATCATTCTCAAAAGTACTTGTATTTCTACTTAAGAAACTTTAATTTGTTTGAATCATTTAAACAGTAGAAATAAAAAATAAAAATTAAATCAAAAATCAAATTCAAAAAAAAATATTTATCTTCTACAGTTTTTGCGAGTATTTTTATTTCATTTTATTTTACACCGCCAAGTACTAGCTGAATAAAGTAGTTTAGCTGGGAAAGAGTGCAAGAACTGTTACAATATTATTTAATTCTCGCCTCTTTTCATAGTTGAGCATCTTACATAGTGATTTCTGAGCACTTTTAGATAATATTTATATAAATAGGTTTATGAGAGCAATAACGTACAACGTACAACGTACAACGTACAACGTACAAGCAAAATCGACTTTCTTGGTTGATCAAATAATCAACGGTCCAGAATAGCCTTTGGTATACTTTCCAAAAGAACAAAGGTTATATGAAGCGTATTTCACTCGTTTTATTTGTGACTTTGGGACAACGAAAGTCGTCGTTCAATTTATGTCGGTAGATAAACTGACGAAAAATTCAGGCAGATCCATGTTGATTTTTGAGACTAAAACATAAATAATGTTGATATCTTATGATAAAAAATGAGACTGTTGCTCTTAATGGAATATTTCCTTATTTTTAATTCATTTTTTATAAAATAATAAGAAATATTAATTAGATACAGTATTTTCTTTCCATAGAATATTTTACTGATGGGAGAAGCTCGAATTTTCGTGTGCAATAATATTTTTTTGTCAATGTTATTAAAAAGAAAAAACTTCTTTATTGTATCGAAAGCAATCATAAAACTGTTGATATTCATTAAAGCAAAAAAAAAATCATTTCTCATCAAATTATTTCAAAACGATTGAGCATACGCTGGAGTAAGTCTTTCAGATGCCGTCTTTTGCCACCTTGAGGAATTGCTCATTTTAAGGCCTATTTTTAAATTTTAACTACATATTAAGGTATTTGAGTAGGATGGAATTTCTGTATCGCTTTCATAACAAAATGTAAATACTATCGAGCTAATTTCAATTCATAATCGAATCAAATATATAAAAGCAGTACAAGTTCATGAAGGTTCTAAAGATTTAAACTGATCACAGAATTGATTGAACATTTTAAAAGATTTTCCTAATTTCTTCGGTAGTCTAGCCCTCACTCACGCAGAGAAAGACCGAAACGATTTAAATTGGGAAGACAACGAGGCGCATAATGACAATGCGCGCGACTCCAAAGTACAGAGCAACTGAATCAGCTAGGATAATAAAAATCAACAATAATTACAAGAAATATATAAATATTTATTACGACACAAAAAAAGTTGTACATTGTGTTTGTCTCACTGTGCGGACAATTCTCTATAGTTTTACAGCATACAGCAAATATAGTGTGTTTACTCTACTTAATGAACGCTCGATTTATTATAAAAATAATTTCAGAATTAATTAAAGCTGCACCAATTTTCGTAAAATCGTACTGCGCAATGACAACAATTAGTTTCAAATGAATTGTGCATGGAGTGAACACTTCTGTATTGAGAGATAAAGGAATGCTTTTCACAGTTTAAAATTAGATGTGAATGCAGTCGCATCTGGAATCGCATTCACTGCAGTCGCATCTCGAATCGCATTCACTGCAGTCGCTTTTGTCGAAACAATCGAGTTGAATCAGCCAAGCCAAGCCATAGTTAATCGATTGCCTACTGTTTTGTTAAACTGATTGTATTTTGTATTTTAATGTGAAGAATTTGTGCATCTTCATTAAATATCACCATGTGTGGCGTATTCTTCTCAACAATGTAAGTAATGAATCAGCATATATTATTCCTTCTTTTCGCAGTCACTTCAAAGGAGAAAAAAAAGCAAAATGATTGTCGAATGGTTAAAACTCAAGGTGAATTTTTATTAGTTCATACCAAGAAAGATTTAATCGAATTGGAGTTCCCCATAAAAAATCACAACTTTTTTTCCATCATGGGAAAGTAACTGTTTTGAAGCAGTTAATATAATTTTTTCTTCATTTCAAATGCTGTGAGCGACATAAAGTGTAATTACAAACGTCGTGCGGTTTTGGATCTTTTGCAAATGCAAATCGTATGACACATGAAAAGACATTAGACGAATTGCTTTTTGCGGTCGTTGCCATTGAACGAATATTCACGACAGCAAACCGTAGTCAAACCCATTTGGAATACCAATTAAAAAACAAAGTGTTTAACAGTATTTTCACTTGAACTATGAAATACGAATCAGACACGCAAAAAAAGCAAAAGATGATTTGTGAAAGTGCCAACAGTAACACGTACTTTTGATAACATGAACTAAGACGCTTTGCCGTCATATTTTTTTTTTTTTAAATAAAAGGTGTTTCAACAAGAGATATTAACGATTTTATTTGAAAAATATTACAACTCTTAAATTGAAACACTCATCATTTCTTTAGAAAAAGTCCATGTCACCGAAATGTGCACGTGAAGTTTTTTTTTGACCAATTCATACATAGCCCATTCATCTTTTAATTTTTTTTATTGTCGGTTCAACATGTATTAGCATATATATCATTGTACGTAATTAAACTTATGTTAGTCGAAAATATGTATATTAAGCAATTTGAATGATTCCAAGATCTTATCATAAAATCAATCTGTATTCCCCAAAAAACCCAATTGAAATGCGTCGAACCAGAAAAAACTATATTAAGACAAAACTGAAGATGTATCATCACAATGCGGAATTACAGAACCAAACAATTTTTTATTGAACCAAACTCTAATAAAAGCAAAAAAGCAAAACATTTCAAAATCAAAAGTTCAAACGAAAAGAAAAAAACATCGTAAAGTTTGAACAAAGACTGTGTTTTCGCGATCTCGTGCTACTGTATGCAAACATTAGTGACGGGGCCTAGGGGGGAGACACGAAATTTTAATGAGTAAATTTAGAACATTATTCAACGATAAAATAGGAAAAATAGAAGAAATTAGTGAATTAGGTTTGCCAATGTTAACGCTTACGGACGTATTGTTTATTGTTCACAAAATAGTCCCGTTAGGTCTTCCATAAGCGTTGTATTGACAGTGTCAATACGCTCTGCAACCAATTTTACTAGAAACAATAGCATAATATTAGCACTTTTGCACCAAAACTAGAAAAATTAGAGGCTTTATGTCAAAAATATATAAAATTGAATGAAACTACACTCTACGAGAATTCGTATCTCGCCCCTAGGACGGGACATTAAACGTCACAGGAGTAAACAAATAAAAGATAATCAAATTTATTCATTTTACTTTGTTGTCATCACAAATTAAATGCAGTGGACTTTACCTCTTTTTTTGTACATTTTTCGCAAGAGTTATTTTTGGCACTGAATATGCATACATACATAGGTACCTCCACAGTGAAGAGAAAAACACATTTTGTCAACTGGGTATCCAATCGCTTTCGTTGATTTTCGAATAAATTTGGTTCGTATATTGTGGAACAGAGTGAAGCGTTCACTGAACTTGACAAAAATTCTGTATTCCTTGTCGTAAACAGTTGATTCGCCCGCAAAATGCCTTTGCACGGTCATAAAATACAAAAGCATTCCAATCGTATTGCAGTCTACAGTTATGGAAAGTTTCAAATAAATATTCAAAAATGCGAGGATGCCAATTAATGACACTTTATACATAAATCAACATAATCGGTTGTGCGATCTTAATTTGAGACTGGCTTCTTCGTCTGGTTAGGCATGGATGGCATGAATTCTTAAGTAAAAAAAAATCAACCAAACGCAAAAAGCGTGTCAATTGATGTAAACTTTATATATCTTCTCTTCATCTCCAGACTACAATAGTTGTAGATGTCAATTTCGACGTTGTCTTCGTGATGCGTTTTTTTTATCACATTAAATTCGCATTGAAATGCATACACTTTTAATATGATTAAATGCGTTGACGACAACACAACTGAAATATTGTGGAAAAATTTCAATCAATCAAATTTAGCTGGCAATTAAAGCGCGAAAAACTCATCGGATGCTAAAATACGGTGGAGATAATGAGCAATCGTGATGTACGGCTCATAAACCATAGTTGAGTGAGATGACATAAGATGATGTGAAGAGCAGATGAAGAGTTCTCCAAAGAGGACGAAATAAAATGACTCTTAATTTACTTAAATTTTACAACAATCGAATGGACTTACTAGTTTGTATGCACATTGCACATTGTATTAATGTTCGAAATAGTTGGCACAATGATCATATCTTGGTAGCTTGGTACGGTTTCCAATTAGTCTGGATACAACGCATAAAATCATTATTTACACATTGTGTAAGCACACTGTAATCATCCTCTCTCTCTCGATTGTACACACAGTCATACAGTAAACACAAACTATTGTTCATAAAGTCTTCCTGGCTCAAATCAATGCAAATCGCTTTTGCAGCTGATAAAAATGCAGGAAACCGATTGAATGCTGAGTCACTGACTTTCGAGTCAAAGTTTTGAGATAACATTTGAATTTTAATCGAATCTCAATTTTTGATTCAAATTTTGTGAGCAGCATATGACAACAATTTCGTTGCATGCACGTGTAAGTCGTAAAAAGTAAATTTTTGTTTTGCTTTCGCATTTTTCTCATTTAGAAATTCTGAAGAGATGCTACTTTATCCCTCGCATCATCGGCGAATACAAGGGACAAATAAATAAGATAAAAACAAATGCGAAAAAATGTTTACAATGTTTTAAATAACGTTGCCATAAAATTAATTCACAAAATCAATGAAACCCAAACATGCTAGATGTTATTATAGCTTGGTAATAGCGCGTACAAAAAGAATCAAATGCGAAACACCAGCGAAATAAAGAAATTGAAAGTTAATAAAGGTTGAAGTGAGAGAGAAACCTGCTTCGAACGAGGCCACAAGAAAGAATGAAACAGTCGCGCAGAATTGGTTAATTCTCATGTTGTTTGTACAACACTCTCCACTTAACAGTAAAGGAAAAGAGAGAAATGCATTCAAAGTGCGATAGTAAACAAAGGAGAAAGACGCTTGTACATCGTCTTTCCGTTGTTTTGTTTCGTTTTGCGTTTCGCCGCGCGCGCGAAGAGTATATAAATATCGTGGAGCATGCCGTTTGCGATCACATTAAGTAATGTTGGGCCGAACACTTACGATCAAAACAACAATAAGCGCGGAATTATTTCTTCTTTTTTTTGCAATATTTTTAGCTGTCGGAAAAGTAATTTTTTTTGTACATTAGGTCGCGAAATAAATAAGCTGTAGACATTAGACCCGAGCACTAATACTATTCAAATATTCTTCCGCTGTGAATTGTGCAAATATTTTAGAAACTTTGAACCAATTATTCATTGAAAATGAGTTTCGTTTAGTGTAAACATGTGCGTATAATTTCGATGAGAAAACCGTTACTATTCCGACGCATCGCAAGATTTCTATAGTGAATAAGAAAAAAAAACAAACAAACAAACGAAAACTTTTGTTACCATGACTTACCAAACTCATAATATCAACGCTGGGTAAGCATTATTCCATAATGTATAATATTTTTGTGCGTTTCCTCAATCGAGTGGGCTATATGTATATATATATATATATTATCGCAGAAAGATATAGTGAAAGTTCGATTAAGCCAGTGAAAATTTTTATATTGTTAACGGTACGAATTTCTTTATTACACAAATTGTGCTCAATTGTAATCGAAAAGCGTTAAGCCAACAATCACTTGGTGCTTGTAATCAATTCCAATTCATTTGGAACCGACGCAGATTGTTTGAATTTCGGTTTGACTGCCATGCATCGCAAAATTCATTCAGTGCCGAAAAAAGACTTCGAATTTTGACGCTTTGCAAACACATAAACACTTGAATGAATTGACGAATGTTTTTCGAAGAAATTACACAAACATAAAGAGAAGGAAGCGCCGAAATACGTGCTGACACTTTTAAGTTGTAAGATTTTATGTAAAATTTCACACATAAACCCGACCAATTCACACAAAATCTCCAAAAATGGACAATGCGACGCGTTACATTTCAATTCGGGTTTTATGGTTCAAAATTCGGATAATGCTTGCAGGCTCAGAAAAAACAAGCAATCTTACCCCAAAAAAAATAGCAGCAACCACAATTATCATATTAACATGCTGTGTTGTTTCTTCTCTTATCCAGTTTTCGTCATCTCCAACTTTTCGCTCAATTTCTGCGATAGATTTGAATTTGATAATTTCCAGTGTCTGCGTTGAATTAAATATGTATGATTTGAGCGAGACACTGGATCTTAAGCCGTTAACTGTGTATAAAATGAATGATGCCTTGGGGTATGGTCGAAAACAAAAAAAATGATGGAAATGATTGAGACAATACAGACAGATAAATGAAGAGGTGCAACCAATAAATTATTTCGTTGACGTGATTCTATCAACTCAATTATCATAGGTTATGAATCATAGCCATTATGCAATAAATAAATACATGTACATATATATGGCGATTCGTACCATGAATCAATTAAATTACCCGTGAAATAACATTCGGCACTTGCTATATAAAAAAAATGGCACTTGATGGAATGAATGGCAATAGAAATGAAGTGAACGCTTATAAATAACATCGATTCAACCAATTCGAACAACAGCGCAAAAAGATTACTTTCGGAGAAAGATACGATTCGAAAGTGATAGGTGAAACGAATTTGAATTGAAACCGTTGTTTGCTTGGTTTCGAAAGTATTCTAACCCACTTATTCTTGTGATGTTCATTAACCAAACGAGCATTGTCTTTTTTTTGTGTTATTCATGAAACAGGATTTTAATTATAAGCCTGAATAAAAAGCAAGATGATGGGAAGCGTGCTATTTTAAGATTTTATTATTCTAATCATAAAAAAAATGAATCACACAAATGAATGTAATATGAACATGCACGACATGGAATGTCATGTCAAAAAGCGTTCAAGTTTGAATAAATTAGCGTCTCTTATTATTGGTTCCGAAGAAAAATTAATTATAAAAAATACTTACTCAGAACAGGCTCCTCTAATGACAATATTATAAATTAATACAAATGTACTCAAAACAAAAACGATTGCATACGTTGATTTGATCATCCTAGAAACAATAACTAAGCAAAAGCTAAGAGTCAAAATTCGAGATGCGCATTTTAATAAATTAATTTTTAATGCATATTGTGGCCATTTCTGAAACAAACACATTCCAGGAAAGTGAGTGACTCATGATGGCTGCGTGATAGCTGCTCGAAAACTACGAATCAATTGGCAAACGAATATACTTCTTTCTCCACGAAATTCCCACTCAGAAGATCATACCAAATACAATAGTTTACGCAAAAATTCTAGATACTATAACACAGAGGTCATTTCAAAATATGTCATTCTTCTTCGGTTTAACTGTATATTATAAACGAAACCAGTTTTTTTGTTTACAATACGCAAATATATGATTGAATCAGCATCAGTTCAAAAAAGAAGATGATTCGTAGGCGAGACATGATAAAAAACAATGATAATATTTGCATATGCGCGTATTATTTAAAGAAATGTTATCGTGGCGTGAAAGTTATATCCACACGTGATGCGGATGGAGTGTTTTTTTATAGCGACGACATAGTTTTTGCTCTACGTTTTGCACATTATTCTATTCCATCGAATTTAAAAGAAAACATGTTTATTTGGTGCACCAAAAACATGGTATTTGTTTTCGGCGACATATAGCTCACGACGTAGAATCGTTTTGAATGTACGTACCACAGAAATGTCTCAAATGCGTGAAATTGAGATAGATGTCATAGGATGTAAACAGTCGTGCTTTTCCTCTTGATTTAAAATAATTAAAGAAATAAAAGTAATTAGAATTGATCGTGATTTGTTATTCAAATGCACTGAACAAGTAAATGATTTATTTTAATCGGTTTTTATAAATACATTTTAAATACAACGTTTTTTTTCCCCTTTCATTCATTGAAGCTATTCAAACGTATGGCAGCGTCGGACAACTTTGGAGAAGGTGTTACTAACTTTCTATGTGATACTGGGTGCAATCGCTGTGACGTCACTCGTCTTTTATTTCATTGTATTCAATGGAAGTGCAGGTAAGAAACGAGTCACGCAACCGAACGAATCATGAATCAAATTGAATTTGTGCGCAGCTCATCAAATAAATCGTATATATTTTTACTATATACAGTAGCGCAATTTGTTGATGCACATATTTATGAGACTGAGGTATAAGGTGACTGGTAGATAAATCAATTGGCGAATCGCGCCAATTTTTCAATTACCTACGATTAAAATAAAAGATAATTCTCTTTGTTTGTTGTTGCTTTTTGATGCTTCTGCTGTTTTAGGTATGGCATTGTGTTTCACGAGCGGTTGCATTACGGCCGCATCGCATGTACTAAACGCCATGGATACAACAATTGAACCATGCAATGACTTTTATCAATTTACATGCGGGAATTTTGTTAAAAATACATACATTCCGGATGATAAGCTAACGGTTGATACATTCTCAACACTCGCCGACGAAATTGATATTCAATTAAGAACAATCATCGAAGATGAAATTGCTCCGAAGGAATCGAATGTGTTTGCATTAGTGAAGAATCTACACAAGTCGTGTATGAATCGAACGGCCGTCGAAGCATTCGGTTTGGAACCATTCAGACAAATTTTACGCCAAATTGGAGGCTGGCCAGCTGTTGAGGGTGAACAATGGAATGAAACGATATGGGATTGGATTGAATCAATACGTGAAATGAGAGAAATCGGTTTAACCACTAATTACTTGTTGGCTACTTCGATTGGAGCTCATTTGAAGAATTCATCGACCAGATCGTTGAGGGTAATATATACAGAATCTTGAACACATGTCCATTTTTCTTAAATAAGAGCAAAAGTAATTGCTTTTTCAAATCTAAATTATTCAGGTTGATCAGCCGGATTTTGGCTTAGCTCGTGAGTTTTTGCTCAACGAAAAAGACCCAATGCTTCAGCACTATTACGACTATATGGTAGACATAACGGTTATTTTTGGAGCCAATGTAAGCACAGCCCCGTATGAACTATTGGATGTATTGAATTTTGAACGCGCATTAGCCAATGTAAACCACTGCTGAATTGCTTTCCCTTTTCTGCAATGCCTTGATATTGATTCTCATTTCTTCTCAAAGATTTCCTTACCAGCCGAAGAGCGACGCGACGGGGAATCTCAATTCAATCCTTATACTATTAGTGAATTAGAAACAAAATACCCGCACATCCGGTGGACAGATTACTTTAGCGCTATAATGCCCAAGGAAATGAAGTTATCTAGCACAGAAGTGGTTGTCGTTGTTTCACCCATTTACTTTGAGCGCTTGGCGTTTATTCTGCAAAACACAACGAAGCGTACGATTGCCAACTATTTTGCATGGCGATCGTTCATTGTTTCATCGAATTTCCTCAATGACCTGGTTCGCATACGGAAAATTCAATATCTCTCTGCGATGACTGGTAATGGTGATGGTCAACCGGGTCAGAGCGGCACGTCGCAGTGGAAAGAGTGCATCTCTTATACAACATCAACGTAAGTTAAATAAAATTAAGAAAAGTGGAAGCTAAAAATCTCACCCACATTTTCTTCATCCATGATCTCCACTTTCAGACTTTCGCCGGCAGTCGGGGCTCTTTATGTGCGAAAATATTTCAACGATAAAACCAAAGGACATGCTGAAGAAATTGTGGAAAACATTCGAAGTTCTTTCATTGAAATGTTACACAAAGTCACATGGATGGACGAGAAAACTAAAAATGCTGCCATTGACAAAGCGACCAAGCTAACGGCACACATTGCCTATCCCAAAGAGTTAACAAACAACACCAAATTAGAGGAATATTATTCGTCGCTGGAGATGAAAGACGATGAATATTTAATGAATGCATTACGTTTGAATAAATTTAAAGCGGAATACGCTCTTCGCGAACTATACGATCCAGTCAATAAAAATGATTGGCTCGCACATGCTACACCAGCCATGACGAATGCATTTTATTCAGCATTGGAAAATAGCATTCGTAAGTGTCTTTTTTTTTCAAAAACAAAAAGATTGAAACGTGAGTTTAAAAATACATTTGTTTGTTTTGCTCATTTAGAATTCCCGGCGGGTATACTTCAAGGCAAATTTTTATCCGAACACCGGCCAAATTACATGAATTACGGTTCAATAGGCCAAATTATCGGTCACGAAATCACGCATGGTAAGCCGAATAGGTAAAAATATATTGATACGTTATTAAAAATAAAATGTGGGTTTGTTTTTGTGCTTTTCATTTAGGTTTCGATGACTTGGGCCGTCAATTCGATTTGAATGGCAATTTAAAAGATTGGTGGTTACCGGAAACCAAGTCAAAATTCCTTAATCGCACACAATGCATCACTGAGCAGTATGGAAATTTTACGGAACCAAAATTAAAGATGCCAGTTAACGGTAAATCATCGTTGGGCGAAAATATTGCTGACAATGGCGGTATGAAGAGTGCCTATTTTGCTTATAAGAAATGGACTCAAAAAAATGGTGCCGAACGAAGATTGCCCGGACTACAGCAGTACACAGCAGAGCAAATGTTTTGGATTGCAGCTGCTCAGACTTGGTGCTCTGCTAGTCGTGACTGGTACACAAAGATGGCCATAACCGTTGACTCACATGCACCAAGTCGATTCCGTGTCATTGGCTCCGTGAAAAATAACAAAGAGTTTGCAAAGGATTTTAATTGTGCGTCTGGAACGCCGATGAATCCATCGAAAAAATGCGAAATTTGGTGATTCTCAGTTAAGTTTGACTCAACTCGATTTTATGAGTTAAATGCAGTAAATAGATTATTAGAAATACTAGGAAAATATTGTGAAATGTTTATTATAAAATGCCGTAAATTAAATAAGTTTGAGAAAACTCCATCGTCTTTTTTTATTGGATTGAAGTAAATGAATATTTCAATTAACATACAATTTCATTTAAGTACTGCCTATATCAAATCTAATTTAGGGGCTTTATGCTATCTTAACAGCCTAAAAACACACCTGTCGTACTGTAGTTGCCGTTAAACTTTGAGATTGTGGTTCTTTTCGTTAAAAGATGAAGGCAGACCAATCGGGACTGAGGGTTTTTTGGAATTGAAAAGCAACTATTTATGCGCGTTTGTACCCATATGTCGATCTCTTGCACCTTTTGTTCGGAATTCCTTATTACATCCATAATGCTCGCATTTGAATGGCTTCTCTCCCGTATGGATCAGCATGTGTGATGCTATAATACTTTTGGTCACAAAGGATTTTCGGCAGCCTTCATGAGGACATTTAAACGGTTTTTCGCCGCTGTGTGAACGTAGGTGTATTGTTAGAGATGGTTTACTGAGAAAAGATTTCGAACACCCGTCATGCGGACATTTTAGTCTATCTTCTGGATTATGCGATCTCAAGTGTATAAATCTAGCGGTTTTGGTTGGAAACGATTTTGAGCATCCAACGTGGGTACATGGAAATGGTTTGTCACCAGAATGAACTTTCATGTGATTCTTAATCGAATAACCTTTCGTTAGGAACTTTCCGCATACCTGAAAAAATTACGAAAAAATTACAATGTATTGCTTAATCATTGTATGTGATGATAATGATGAAGATGATTGAATCAATGTTTCGCATACATTGCACATAACTTTTTGATCGTTTAACGGTTCATTGTGACGTTTCATGTGCATGTCTTGCAAAGATTTCGCAAAAAATCCCATTTCACAGATGTTGCATTTATATTTGACATTATCCATCGTGTGTTTCCATCGCATGTGTGACAAAAGGGAGGATATTGACTTGTAATTTGATTTGCATAGATAACACTCGACCGTGGCATTTGCATTTACTATTTTTCTGATTCCGAATCGATTTTTCCATTTTGATATGCATTCTGGACGATGTTTCTCCAATTCTTTTTCGGTCACAAATACTTTGGCGCATCTTCTACAAACATTTGTCCCGGCCGGTGTGTGTTTCAATACTCTATGCTGCTTGAGAGTTCTTATTGAGCTTAGTTTCTTCTGGCATATATTACATTCGAATGATCCGTCAGTATTTGGAACAAAACATTCCGATGCGTGTTCGTTTAGCTCTTCAATCGTCAGGAAACTGTTTGAACACTTCTCACAAAAATGCGATTCCATTGTGTCCCATTCTGAGCATCTCTGAGAGAGTGGTTTACACTCTTCTGGTTGCTCCTGAGATATTTTAGCCAATTTTGCCTCCTTGGGTTGAGGTTCAACTGTGCAGTTGAATCGGGTTTGATTAAAGTTCAATTGCTCTTTTGGCTTTTCTCTCAAGGCATCTCTAGGTATATCATCATAATTATATTGCAAAACTGATTTCGTCTTAGTATCTAGTTCTCCTGTGCAAATCGAGTCCATACTAGAATCACTATGCAACCACCCATGATCGTCGGGTGGTATTTGTTCATCGTCACTTTGACCACCAGTAATTGCACCAGTGGCCTCCCCAGATGTGTGAGGCGTTTCTAATTTATTTATAGCGTGTGAATGATCTTGTAATTCTTCTGATTGATTTTCAGTTTCGACTTCTGTTTTCACTTGAATTACATTTGTAGTGTTTGTTTCCAAATTAGCGGAATGAATATCAATGCATTCCTTCTGTTCTTCATTCGGTGCCAGTTGATGTTCAACGTAACACGATTCGAAATGTTGCTCCATTTTAAATTCTCTTTTAATGCACGTTACTGCATTGTGTAGAGTATACAAATTGGCACCAATTCGAATCAAATTTTGATCGCAGTCATCGCAAGTCTCTTGGGCAAAATGCTCCAGAGTGTGGTCATCTTTATCAGCGGCACTGCCGAATGTTTGAGGACAAAACAAACATTGATGAACTGTAAAAGAGAAAATTTATTGATTCATTCACTTAATTTGAATGTCTTTGAATTGTTTATCTTACCCGCTCTCGTTGTGGTCATATTTCTATGTAATAGCCCCGATTGAACCAATAAATAAAGCCGATTTCTTGTTTAATAATAAGCGACGGATTTTCATTTGAACGTTTTTATTTCCAAATGTCAAGTCAACTTCGATTGTTTACCTTCGAAACGTCAAACTCATTCGGATTGACTTGAGTATTTTTGTTTACATTCTAAAGTACCAACAGTTCATTTTCCATTACAATGAAGTTTGAATTGCAATACAATAAATTGGATTATAAATTTTTCTTCAGATTAACAATAAAAAAATAAATTTTATTCAATGTTTCCGCATGTGCTGTTTCAACAGAAATACTTCTGGAAAAACATCGCCACACACTGAGCATGGGATTTTCTTCGTTAATATGCCGTGTACTTTGAATTTATATCGTCGAAAATTTGTAGTGTACGAAAACTGTCTTTCGTTACATCCTTCTATTATGCAATGGAATGGTTTCTCTTTTGTGTGCCGTCGCATATGCTCTGCTCTACTGCTTTTTCACATATATTCCACAAATGCTGCACATAATTTTTCGATCGTTCACCGGTTGAGTGTGACGTTTCATATGTACCTCCTGCAAATGTTTGGAGAAAAATGCCATTCCACAGATGTTACATTTATATTTGACATTATCCATCGTGTGTTTCCATCGCATGTGCCCAAAAAGGGATGATATCGATTTAGATGATATTTTGCATAAGTAACACTCAAACGTTGCATTAGCATCTATTGAGTGTTTGAGTCTATTTCTCCTTTTCAATCGACAGGCGGTACGGTGTTTCGTCAATTCGTCTTCAGTCCTGCACACTGTGGAGCATGTAAGGCATACATGTGTTCCAGGTGTACTATGTTTCGTTGTTTTATGTTTGTAAAGTGAAGCGGCGGATGCGTAGAATTTATCACATTTTTCACACAAATATTTGGATTGCGCCTTCTTTTTTTGCAATTGATTTGGCTGTTCAATGGGGCTCTCGGAATGACCTACTTCATTTTTCACGAAACATTCTGACCGGTGATTTGTTAGCTTATCCTCGGTTGTGAATATCTTTGTGCAGTATTCACAAGAATGAATTCGTGGCATCTTGTTGAGATGTACTCTACATTCTTCCATTTGAACTGCCATGGTGTCAACTGATTCAATGCGATTGGATTGAATGGATTTGGAATTTTTTTCGTCTTTCTTTGACTCATCTAAGTTTGTAACAAAATCTTGCTCTTTATCTTCTGTAAATGACTCTGTTTCCGAGTTGAATTCATCAGAATAGATGGAATCGAAGGTAAAGTCATCCTTCATTGTTTGGCTGTTATCATTTTGATCATTGGTTGCTGCGGTGATAGTGGTCAAATTTTTCGTGGTTTTTGTCTGATTTTGTAACTCTTCTGAATAACCTTCAGTTTCGACTTTCGCTTTGACTTGCATTTCATCCCTAACAATTGCTCCGGAGACAACAGAATGAATAACAATACGTTCTTCCTTCTGCTCATTTAGAAGAACTGCTTGCTCTACACGACGAAAACACGATTCAAAATGAGGCTCTGCTTTAAAATCTCTTTTTATACATGTAACCGCATTGTGTACCGTATACAAATTGGAACCGATTCGTATCAAGTTTTGATTGCATTCCGCGCAAGTCTCTTGAGCAAAATGCTCCAGAACGTGGTCATCTTTTTCAGCGGCACAGCCAAATGTTTGCGGACAAAATAAACATTGGTGAACTGGAAAACAGAATATTCAGTGCAACACATTATTTTGATTATTATTTTTACATTCACATTATATTAGCACATTCAAAGTCTTACCCGCTCTGGTTGTGGTCATATTTCTATGCGATAGCCCCGATTGAACCAATATATCAAACTAATTCCTTAACAAGCCACAGAATGTTATTCGAATATTTTTATTTCCAAATGTCAAGTCGACTTCGATTGTTTACCTTCGAAATTTCAAACTCAATTGGATTGATGTAAGTACTTTTTTTTTACATTTTAAAGTATCCAGCGGAGGAATAGAAACATATAATTCCTATTCTTTGGTTTGAATCATTTTTTAATGAAAAATTTATTAACATAGATAATGGAATAGCGGAAATTTCAATTGCATTTTTGACATATGAATAAACTAGCCTAATTTTACACATTGTGTTTCTTCATGTGTGCCTTCAATAGGGTATTCTCTGGAAAAATTGCATCACAAATCGTGCACGGGATTTTTTTTGCAAAAATGCCATGAATTTTGAATTTATGTCGTCTAAAATCCACAGCATAAGAAAATCGTTGATCACATCCATCGACAGTGCATTTGAACGGCTTCTCACCAGTGTGACTTCATAAATAAAGGAAGAAAATGGGGAGAAAATATGAAAAGATAACATACTTTGAAACTGATTAATAAAAATGATACTTTTTTTTTGTATTAGTGATAGATATTTACCTTCTCATATGTTCACTTATACTGCTTTTAGATCGAAACGATTTTCGGCAGCCTTGATGAGGACATTTGAATGGCTTTTGTTTGGTGTGGATGTACATGTGACTCTGAAGTGAATTTGTTGCCAAATATTTACCACAAACCGTGCACATAACCTTTCGATCGTTCAACTGTTGATGATGACGCTTTGTGTGACTATCCAGTACAAATTTTGTGAAAAATCCCTTCCTGCAAATGTTGCACTTAAATCGAATTGCTTCTGCACTGTGTTTGAAACGTAGATGACCACGCAGAGCAGCTTGATTTAAATACAGCTTGTGGCATAGGTAACATTCATAAGATGCATTTTCATCTCTGTTTTTTCTCGTTTCCCATTGCATTTTCCTCTTCGATTCACATATTAACCTATGTTCTGTCATTTCTTTTTTGGTGCTGAATATGCGACAGCAAACCGTGCAGTACAGTGTCCCCGAATGCATTCGAATTTTATGAAGTCTTAGTATATCGGCTCGAGATACTATTTTTCCACAAATATCACATGGAAACTGTGCTCCTCTGTCATGAACCGCATAATGATTTGCAAGCGTTGCCTCCTGTGCAAAATGTACACCACATAATTCGCACTTGAACTTGTTGTTGGGATTATGCGATTGCATGTGCTTGCGAAAGGAATTACGTGAGTGTATAGTCTTTTTGCAGATGTTGCAATCAAATGCGCCGCCATTTACTCTTCGACGGCATTCCGGCTTATGATGGGCTAGTTCGTCTGCGGTTGCAAATATCTTTGTGCAACATCTACAAAAATAAGTGGTTGCGTCACTGTGCAAGAGTATTTTATGCCGTGCCAGTGAACTTTGTACGCTCAATATTTTACCACAAATATCACATTCGACGGGTTTACGCTTGCCTTTATCGCTCTGAGACGACTGTTTGCCAATCGATGTTGATGGTGTCCGTATGTTCTTTACCATTGTTTCCTCTCGTTTGGAGTTGGATTCATTTGGAAAATGTTGACTTGATTGAACACTGGTGACCTCCCTCAAATCGATCCTTTCCATAGATATATCATCGGTTCTCGTCTTCGAACTGCTTGCCGATGCTATTTCTTTACTTTGGTAATCATATTGTACTTCTGGATCATCTGGACATTCAAATGTGGGCTCTGTTTTGATTTGTATTTCATTTTCCCAAATGGTTTCAATAGCGACGGGACGAACGCCCAAGAATACGGAGCTCCAATCACTCTGCTGTTTTTGTTCATTTGCCTGTTCACCATATTGACTTGTATGAGTTTGCATGTGTTCATCTCTGTCGCGAGCAAGCACAAAACATTCGTCACATCCTTCAATTAAACATTTGAATAGGTTTTCTTCGTTATGTCGACTCATGTGCTTCTTTAGGCTATGCATTCTGTTCAACGATTTTCCGCAAATACTACACACGAATCTTCGATTTTTCAAACTTTCAATATGACGTCGTTGTTGATGAACTTGCAGCATTGGCTTTGTGACAAAGTGCATTCCACATGTTTCGCACTTGAATTTATGACGATTAGTATGCGACAATCGAGTGTGAGCACTTAGAGCTGCATGATTTGGAGACTCTTTTCTGCATAAGTAACATTCATACGATGCATTCTTATCTTTTAATTTCCTAAATTCATGTCGCTGTTTCTTTTTTGATTCACACACAGTTTTATGCTGTATCAATTGGTTTTCGGTGTCAAATATATGACAACAAATTTTACAAAAATAAGTGTTTGTACTATGCTTTCGTATTTTGTGACCTTGTAATGAATCTTTTCGAGCACATGTTTTTCCGCAAATATTACATATGTGACGTCCTCCTCTCTTTCTACTTGTTCGGGGTTCTGTACTCGGTAGTGGTTGCTTATCGATTGCATCGACTGTATGCGTTGAAGGATCTTTTTGCTCGTGATGCATAGCTGGTTCTTCTTTGATGGTTATTTCTTCTAGGTGGATCGAGTGAGGATTTTCAGGATAGTGAACAGCTCCAATGGGAACTAGAGGTGGCATTTCTCTAATAGGTGCGAGTGGAGGCATTTCCATCGGTAGTAATCTGTTCAATGATACACGTTCATTGAACGCTGTGCTGATGGGTTCGGTTTTGATTCGTGTCTCATATTCGGCGACTGTCTCCGAAATAACAGTGTCAACAAAACACGATTCAATGTGCTCCTCGGATTTGATTTTTCCCTTGATACATGTAACCGCATTGTGTACAGTATACAAATTGGAACCGATTCGAATTAAGTTTTGATCGCAGTCGGCGCAAGTCTCTTGAGTGAAATGCTCTAGAACGTGGTCATCTTTTTCAGCGGCACTTCCGAATGTTTGAGGACAAAACAAACATTGATGAACTGTAAAAGAGAAAATTCATTGACTCATTCACTTAATTTGAATATTTTATCTTACCCGCTCTCGTTGTGGTCATATTTCAATGCGATAGCCTCGATTGAACCAATAAATCAAACTAAATAAAACAAGCGACAGATTTTTATTCGAATATTTTTATTTCCAAATGTCAAAGCAACTTCGTTTGTTTTCTTCCGAAATGTCAAGCTCAATTGGATTGATGTAAGTACTTTTGTTTATGTTTTAAAGTATCCAGAGGAGAAATAGAAATATAATGTTTGTATACTTTGGTTTGAGTCATTTTCATAATGAAGAGTTTATTAAACTTATTCACAGATAACGGAATAGGAGTTATTTTAATAAAAATTAAAAAGAAAACAAATAAATAAAAATGACATGAGAATCTAAAATAATTTTTTCAACTTTCGATCGATCAACGGTTGATGATGACACTTTGTGTGATTGTTCAGATCAAAATTGGTGCAAAATGCCTTTCCACAAATATTACATCGAAATCTAATTGCTTCTGAACTGTGCTTCATACGAAAGTGACCACACAGGGCAGATTGACTTGTATGAACCTTGTGGCATAGGTAATATTCATAAGATGCATTCACATCTCTGTATTTTTTTTATTTCACACTGCATTTTCCTCTTCGATTCACATATTAACCTAGGCTCTGTCATTTCTTTTTTGGTGCTGAATATGCGACAGCAAATATACCATAAAGCATAAAATACACGATTTCTAGCGACAATCGCGAATGTATGCATTGATCCAAGCAAACGATGAAGTCACAATCGTTTAAATTGGTTGGCCTATATTCACCGTTTGCAAATTTATTTGCAAGTGTTTTATGCGGCGATTCATCGTGGCTTAAATACTCACCCCAAGCCAAACAATAACTCGCTTCGAGAGCATCACGCTTTTTTTCACGCCTTTACTTCACACAGTAGACGAGCTTTATGTTTTTATTTCTTCACTCTTCCATCATCTTCGTGTACGAGAGCGTGAAAAAGAGTAGATTATTCCTTATTCGATGAAATGATTCAGATGTTGTTAATAAGCAGTCCATGCTCTAATATCACTATATTCTTTGCGTCAAAATTGGTTTTTTGTTTACTATAGTATAGCTATTGATCCAGACGTCGAGCTTGACGCTCAAGTATTTGTTTGAGTACTCATTTGTATTCACAGTACTTTAGCTGCGAAGGGGAAAAGGTTTATTTGTATTTACGTTATTCCAGTATGAGTTTATGGGGAAGAAATGACTTCATTAATACTTGGCTAAAGCAATCGGAAATTTCAATTTGTAAAAAAGGAGAATCTGCATAAATTTTATTTAAATTATTTTTCAAGTATCCAGCAAAATTGATTGACACTTGCAATAAAGTATTTGGAAAAGAAATGATTTATTTTATATGCTTATGAATATTTATATGTAGAACATCAAACTTGTATAAATTTAGAGTCAAAACGAGACGAGATTATCCGATCGCATGTCCGATCGCCAATGAGTCGAATGCGAAACAAAGCGAAAGCAAAACAAAAACATTGCGCTATATATTGATAACGCCTTGAGTTCCAATTTGCTGACAACAAGATGATCATTATTATTGTTTACTCTGTATCAGCTTTTTTCAAACGAATCGTTTAATTAAATAATAAAATCTTTTATTGCGAATATTGTGTGAGTTCACTTGTCAGTTCAGATCATATGGTTGTTTGCATCACAGATACTGCATACACGGTCACTTGCTGCTGATAAGGCGATACAGGCAAAAGTTCAGTGTTCAGCAAATATTACAGCTGTTTATGTCCAGCAGTTAAGATTAATCCAACAGTAAATGACCGACAGCTCATAAGGGCACACATACAGTGGATAAAAACTTAAAATACTTCACTCCAGCCTACAAATTGATCAAATTACGAACAAATCAAACCAATTAATGTGAGTAATTTAATAAATTCTAATTTGTTGTTCGATTTTTTGCGAAGAGTTTATTTTTATTCGGAAATGTTGGATCCTATTTTTATATCGGGTAAACACGGGTACGTGAATTTACGGGTTGTGATTTAATACCGCTGTTTGAATCATTGCGCATATATATATATATCGGCCATTCCACACGAAATCAGGGAAGAGTTGTAATGTGAGGTCGCCGAATTTGCTGAAAATTGGCTTGGAGTCTTGTTTCCGATAGAAAAAGAGAAAACCAAAATCTCAGGCCTAAAAGTGGCCCGCCTTTCTGAGTTAACTCAGTGTGAATTTTTGGAAAAATTGAAAAAATCGAAAAAAAGGGTTTGCGCCAACTAAAATCTAACTGTGAAGTAGTTGACACATTGCCAAACCTATGATACCGTTGGAAAGGGAATCGATGGGGCTACAAAATCCGCCAGTAACCTATCCTCTATGGCCCCATTGGAACCTCCAAAAATGGGTTCAAAGTATAAAATGTTAAATATCTCAAAATAGTGGGGTTTTTTTGATATGTTTTTTCTGCGTTTTTTTTGCGCTTATGTCGCGCCGCTTCAGATGGAAAAATAAAATTTCGTGTATACCCCCCATTCAGTTCGTGTATCTGGCCTCAGCAGTTGAATCATATGTCATTTTTCAGCGTTTTTGTGGGAAAAATGGTCAAAAATGGCCTCTTACGACATTTTGATATGAGAAAACTGCTATTTTTTCGTCAAAATACATGAAAAAACGACCTTTTCCACATCGGTTTACCTATAAATTTGGTCCGAAACTGACTTTTCTTCATAGAACAAACGAATGGTCGAAATCTGCTTACAAAATCACATTTGTGGCATAGAAAACCCACCTATAATGGGCTGTCATGATTCTATTTCCACGTAATTTTTGACGGAAAATCGATTGAGACTCATCTCAATCCTGTCTGATGGGTCTAAAAGGTCGAAAAATGACCCTGCTTCAGAGGATGTTTTCAACTCGCAATAAAAACACTTTTTTTGCTTCAAAAATTCCCTATTCTGCATTCAATCGTGAATGGCTTTTATTTTCCAGCGAAACAAATGAAAATATACCAATTTGCTTACCATTTGGGCTCAATTCAGCGTTTTATGTAGAAATTGTTCTGAAAAGCGGTCATTTTGTATGGGAGGTATCTTAAATTTGCGTAATTCGATAATTTTACGTTAGAAAACTTCTATTTATTTTCGAAAATAATGGGGGCCTGTGAACAATCAAACACCCATTTTGTTGTATTTTGGTCTCAAATCGACTTTAGCATCGGAAAAATCACTCGAAATGGAGATTTTACATATAAAACGCTGAAGTGAGCCCAAATGGTAAGCAAATTGGTATATTTTCATTTGTTCCGCTGGAAAATAAAAGCCATTCACGATTGAATGCAGAATAGGGAATTTTTGAAGCAAAAAAAGTGTTTTTATTGCGAGTTGAAAACATCCTCTGAAGCAGGGTCATTTTTAGACCTTTTAGACCCATCAGACAGGATTGAGATGAGTCTCAATCGATTTTTCGTCAAAAATTACGTGGAAATAGAATCATGACAGCCCATTATAGGTGGGTTTTCTATGCCACAAATGTGATTTTGTAGGCAGATTTCGACCATTCGTTTGTTCTATGAAGAAAAGTCAGTTTCGGACCAAATTTATAGGTAAACCGATGTGGAAAAGGTCGTTTTTTCATGTATTTTGACGAAAAAATAGCAGTTTTCTCATATCAAAATGTCGTAAGAGGCCATTTTTGACCATTTTCCCACAAAAACGCTGAAAAATGACATATGATTCAACTGCTGAGGCCAGATACACGAACTGAATGGGGGGTATACACGAAATTTTATTTTTCCATCTGAAGCGGCGCGACATAAGCGCAAAAAAACGCAGAAAAAACATATCAAAAAACCCCACTATTTTGAGATATTTAACATTTTATACTTTGAACCCATTTTTGGAGGTTCCAATGGGGCCATAGAGGATAGGTTACTGGCGGATTTTGTAGCCCCATCGATTCCCTTTCCAACGGTATCATAGGTTTGGCAATGTGTCAACTACTTCACAGTTAGATTTTAGTTGGCGCAAACCCTTTTTTCGATTTTTTCAATTTTTCCAAAAATTCACACTGGGTTAACTCAGAAAGGCGGGCCACTTTTAGGCCTGAGATTTTGGTTTTCTCTTTTTCTATCGGAAACAAGACTTCAAGCCAATTTTCAGCCAATTCGGCGACCTCACATTACAACTCTTCCCTGATTTCGTGTGGAATGGCCGATACATTGTTATAAACAATTGTCGACGGACATATCTGGACTTCGGAATTCTTACTCAATTTCTATTTATTGAATAAACAAAGAAATAATTTCAAAAAAAAATTCTTCTTAGCGACAAAATAGTATTGCAACGAAGTCGAAAACAAATTGGTTAGTTGAAATTTTGATGAGGAAAGAACCACTTCATTTTTATTGCATTGATAACGATGCCCTTTGTTATGCAATAGTTTTTTTTTTGTAATTTTGTTTGCTTATTTGATTTGTGTGCAATAGATGTCATTCAAAGTAGAAGCAATCCCATCGCCAAAGACGGTCATTGGAACGAGATGCCATTGGGACGAGCACACTCAAAGTTTGTATTATAATGATATTGAGGGCGTAATCTTCCGTTATGATTACAAAGAGAATAAAGTATATTCGGCAACGATTGATGGTGAGCCTTCGATTGGATTCATGATTCCGGTCGCAAATTGTACGAAAACATGTGAACTGGATGAATATGCCCTTGGATTGGGCCGCCGCGTTGGAATCGTGCACTGGGATGGTTTATCAACGAAGGCAATCATTGGACCCATCGCTTTCGAAGTTGAACAAGAAAAAGAAAACAATCGCTTTAACGCGGCCAAAGCTGATCCCGTGGGCCGATTCTATGGTGGCACTATGCGCAGTGAAAAGTGTGGCGATATTTTTGAAGTCGCTGCCGGCTCCTTGTATAAATACATCAAGGGTGACGGTGTCTATGAATTAGTAAATAACGTTCATATTTCCAACGGTTTGGCATGGAACGAAGAAGAAAACAAAGTTTTCTACATCGATTCGTGTAAATTTGATGTGAAAGAGTACGACTGGGATCCAAGCACTGGTGATTTCTGTGAGTGAACGTTTTTTTTTAAATTTATTTTTCACTTAAGCATTGATAGAAAATCATCCATTGAAAACAAAAACTTTTTCACCAAACAAATCTATATTTTTCCAGCCAATGAACGTGTTGTGATCGATTTTAGCAAAAATGGCAAAAATCCAGGATTTCTTCCAGATGGTTTAACCATTGACACAGACGGCAACCTCTATGTTACCGCTTTTGAAGGATCCAAAATATTCAAAGTCAATCCAAAGTAAGTTTTTTTTATCGTTCATAATTTTTCATCAGTTATTTACCATAATTTTCCATTCAAACTATGTTTCTCCTTTTTTTTCTCTAAACAGAAGCGGCAAAATTCTATTGGAGATTCCGATTCCCGCTAAAAAAGTTACAGCTGTAGCCTTCGGAGGTCCAAATTTGGACATTTTGTACGTGACAACTGGAGCAAAAGATGACCCTGACAATGTAAACGCCGGACTATTATTCAAAGTAACCGGATTGGGCGTGAAAGGTTTTCCAGGCGTTAGAGTTCGCGTATAAGACCAAAACGAAAATAATTTTTAAGAAGCTCGTATGCGGAAAAATATGTTAAAAATTCTAACAAATTCAACATTGATTAAATAAACACAACTGTTACAATTTCATACTTATCTGCAGCTCGTTATCTTTAACCATTTTCATTTAGCTTTGATTTTTTAGTTCAGCTGTTATTTGCTATTTTTTGTTTAAATTTATCAATGAAAGTTTCGAATAAAACACAAAACCATACTCATGCATTCTTGGTTATGAGGTTAAATTGAATGTTATTAATATGTTATCTTTGCAAAAATACCAAAAGAACGCTGTAGAGGATGTTTCGAATCCGGGTGACACTTCCTTAGCTTTAGATTATTTTTCATCAAATAAATTATAGCGTCACTTTAAGCTCGTAAAAATACAAATCCGCGATAGGAATAAACAATTCATATAAATTTTATTCTATAACATATCACGAAGAATGTTTTCATATAATCAACTGTTTACTTAATCTAAAAAAATTATTAAAACTTTTATTCTAATAAATTTTCATATTTTCAACTAAAGCTGAACATGATGCTTGAGCATGTGCTTTTTCAAAAAAGAATTCTCCGGGAAAATTTCGCTACAAATCGAACATGAATACTTCTTAATAAAAATGCCATGTGATCGGTACTTATGCCTTCTAAGATCGATTTCGAATGTAAATTGTCGACCACAACCTTCGACTTCGCATTGAACTCGTTTTCCTCCCGCGTGTGTTCGAATGTGACTCTCTCGATTGGATCGCGTTTTGAAACCTTTTTCACATCCATCGACAGTACACTTGAACGGTCTCTCCCCAGTATGACTATTTGTGTGACTTTTAAGCTGGTCTTTTGTTTTGAAACTTTTACCACAGGTGCTGCATACGTATTCCTTAATATCGAGATGTTTTCGATTATGATGAATATCAAGTAACTTCTGCTGTACAAACGACGACTCGCATAGTGTGCATTTAAATTGTTTACACGAGGGACTGTGAACGAACCGCATATGCATACGTAAAACGGCTCTATTCTTCAGTATAGCACCACAAATGTCACACTCAAATCGCACCGCAGTATTTGATTGTCGACGTTTTCGCATACAGTTCGCTTTGTGTTCGGCCAAATCTTCTGCTGTTGAGAACAGTTTTATGCAAATATTACAACAATTTTCACCCAAAGTCTTGTGCACCACCATTTTATGCCGTTGCATCGCGTATTTACAACTAAGCATTTTCCCGCAAATATGACATTCAAGGCTTTCTTCATTGTCATTGGTTTTTTCTTGTGATTTTTTCTTTACTATCTTTGCACCTGTGCCCCCAGAAACAGTCTTTTTCCGCTTCGATTGCTTTTTTCTTTTTTGAAGATTCGATGGCGGTTGAATTTTTACAGAAATTTTCTTCTTTCGTGTTGAATTCATTGATTTATTTTCAATGTGTTGTTTCGAACCATCTGAGCATTCAGGTGAAATATTTTCATTCAGACACTCAATTGGTTCTTCATTCTCTGTTTTTAACTCTAGTTTGACTTCAACTCTCTCTACTTCTATGGAATCTAAATCCGGAAATGTGCAAACAGACTGCATCGGCTCATCTTCATTGCAACTACCTCTGTCGTACACTGGTGGACTTTCATCATTGGTAGTAACTTGCTCGATTGCACTCGATTCAATTGGAGCCTCTGATTTCAATTCCATCTTGATGCATGTCACCGCAGTGTGTAGAGTGTACAAATTTGCACCGATTCGAATCAAATTTTGATTGCAGTCGGTACAAGTCTCGTGAGCAAAATGGTCCAGAACGTGGTCGTCTTTTTCAGCTCCACTGCCAAATGTTTGTGGACAAAACAAACATTGGTGAACTGCAAAAGTATTGTGAAGATTCAATTGTTTAACGATTTGTTGAATTTTATGCTTTAATAATATCAAATTATACCTGTTTCAATTCCACTCATTTGGTATAATAATAGCTTCTTGAGTTAAAATAATATCAATTCCTAAATAGTAATTTTTTTTTCTTTTTAAGCCGGCTTTTGCTTTCTTTTCAATATTTCTTATGTCAAACTTATTGTTATTTACATTTGAAACGTCAAATATACTTCTGATTTTTTTCTCCTATTATGTACTTTGAATATATTCGAAGGGGAAACATTTTCTATGTTTGTGCAAGAGTTTTATTTAGTCAAATTTGATTATATACGGAAAACTTTTAGCGACACAGCATATACATATCAATAGGCTATCTATTTATTATTTATTATTTAATTTTTACTTTGATCATCCGCGTTTTCATCATTGATCGGTAATTTTATTCCACGTTCTAGAATCGCCGCTACATGTGATTCTTTACGGATAAATCCGTGATTTGCTTCAATCAATTTGATGGCTAACTCGACTGGATTTTGTACAAATTTGCAATAGTTAACGTACTTCCTGAGTGTTGATGTTGACAGAGCAGTCCTATCAGGGACAAATCCATTTGGTTTAATGATTCCGTTTCTGAAAGCGTTTTCCTGTTCGTTAGTTCGAGGACGTGGTATTAAACCCAAGAAATTGCAGTAAGCATTTTGTTCGTCCTCATTTTTGAAGTACATTGAACCGGAGAACATTCTTATCTGGGCAGCAACATGAACATTGATGTTTACTGGAACCGATTTACCGGTGACTCGTAAGCTTATTTCATCCAGTAAATCGCTATGCACTTTATTTAATCGTGAACGGAACATGTAAAGTGTTGATCTGGTGCTTCGTCGAAAATGAGGCAACAGTTGATTGACTTCGTATGGACTGAGCAAAATGAAAATACAATCAACACAAGCGATCCACCAAACCGGTCGCAGAAATTCATCACATGATTTATTGCTAGAATCATTCAACACTTGAGTGAAGTTCTTTGTGACGTATAAACGATTATTCCAAGGCGAGCCTTCGTCTTTGTATTCTTTGTACAACTGTGTCTTTGTTAATGATTCTTCTAGAGGAAGGATGGTTAGATTTTCCCGGAACAAATTATTGGTGATATGAACATCATTCTGAATTCCATTTTGAATCAATAAGGTAAGATCATCATCAAAACTTGGTTTTGCTGGTTTTGATTTTGGTGGCCGTTGAACATGTCTAGCTTCTTCGATTTCATGCTCCAGCTCCTTTTCTTGTTCTTCATCTAAACTGTGAACGAAGCGTCTAATATCTTTTGCTTGTTTTGATAACTTTTCAGTGACGCCTTCGGCATATTTTTGGATGAATTGTACAATTTCTCTATTTTTTCTATTCTGTTTAATCAATTTTCGGAATTTTTCTGTCGATATGTCAGTCAACGGAGCATCCTCTTTGTCACCATACATCTCACTCAAGGTGACGAATTCATTGTTGACACATTTCTCGTACAAATTGCGCATTGCGATTGGCGTACTGGAGCTTTCATACAATTTATGTGCGACCAATTTCGCGGTGTAGTTATGAGCTGCGGTCGCCCAGTGGACAGTATTTTCAGTTTCGAATTGGCGACTGTTGGCGCAAATAAATTCTACGACATGTTCGTTATTTATCTCATTTTGTTTTGTCAAGCTACACGTTTCGCGAATGTTTATGTCTGCCTCGAATGATGCCCAGAATGCAATCGAATGACCTCTTCCCAATTGACGCATTCGCATGCAAGCTTGTACTGTTTTATCGCGCGTAATTTCGCCGGATAGTGTAACACAAGCCTTCCAACCCAGCGGGAATCTGAAATCGGTTCCTCGTGTGTGCGTGTCATCCAGGTAAACCAAACATCGGCTCAAGTTCTCTCGATAAACGGAGCTATCGAATTCGGCTACTAAACCATTCCGATCGATCGCTTGCAAAACGTCTCGCGAGTCGAAATAGAGAGCTGCATCATAGATGGATTCCGATGTCATTTTCAACCACACTTCAGCTACTTGCTTATTGTTTAGCTCCAACATCAATGCCCCCGCATCCAAAAGCACTGGAATTTCTGAACTTGCGAGCAGTTGCAATATTTCTTTTGCGCTCACATTTGCGGGAAGACTTTTGTAACACTGATTTTCGGGTTGAAGCAACGTTTTTCGGACACCGTTGTTCGTGTGCTCCAGTTCTCTTAAAACATTTTGAACGATTGTCATTGGCAAAAGATTTTTGGTGTCATTTGTTCCACTGAATCCGGTTACACGGTGATGCATGTGCTCGCTGCACAAGTCCCATGCAGTGCTCATTAGTTTTTGCTCAAATGACTTTGCTTCGCGTAGAAAAACCACATTCGACAGCCAAAAATCGATGATTTGCATATTGAATCGAAATAATGGGAATAGAATGTCGTTTCTTTGATGGGGATCGATTAAGTTTACACCCGAATATGTTCGAATAGATGGATTTACCAACTCTGGTGTAATGCTAGTTATCCATTTTTCATAAGTGTCTGCTGCATTTTGACTCAATGTCAATATTTCGAATGCCTGCAACAACTGCTGATCGGAAAGACCTTTGAAGATGATGGAAAAGTCATGAGAATAAAAATTAAATGGATAATTAAAAGTCAAAATCATACCTGAATAATAATAGCTCAACTGTGTGAAACATAGAGCAACATCTGTGTGGCCAAACTCCGTCATATCTGCTGCAACGTCTTTTGCCTTGAATGGAATGGCCATTTTTCGATTGCTCTTCTCGTCCACACCATAGTTCACACGCCAACGTTTTGTCAAAATCAATTTCAGCACTTCAAAGCGAAGTAAGCCACTCAAAATCAACACGGTATTTCGTTCGATGGCACCAAGGTCGGCATGCGTCGTTTCAACTGATTTTGCACTTAATAAAATGCGAATTTGTTCTTTGTCTTCTGCTGTGGTCTCTGGGAATGCGATATCGGTTTGGCCACTGAGAAAATCTTCAATTAACGCTTCTTTCAATAAGTAAAACATCGAATGGTCCAGAATACGGCAAGGCGTAAAGACATCAGCACGGTAGTCGACTATTGGAGCTCCGAAAACGTTACCATTCGTCACATAATCAATGTTGAATTCCAACTTTTCTGCACCGTGTTTCAGATACAGTAGTTTCATGTGATGCGGCACGCGCTTCAGTAGTGCCTGTATGACAAACCATCGCTGAGCACCTCCGTCTATTTGTAGCTGTTTTCCGACTGTGTAAATGAGTTGGTACTTTGCCTGCAGAATGGCATCGGATTCATCCAAAATGCTGCGCACGTTTTCATTAAGCCAATTGTGAGATGAAAGAAACTTCCATGCGGTCGCGATATCATTCTTTGCTACAGTCTCATAGATTTTCAATTGGAATGATAAGCGGTACTCGGGCAACGTCAGAATGACACCTGTAATGAAAACAATTCAAGAAAGTTAGATGATCATATTACTAGTATACGCAATGGTAAACAGTGAAATACCTTTCTTCTCCTTGCATTCCTCATACATATCTTGTATTTGCGTGATGCATTTGTCCATCGGCATGTCTCGACGACATGGGAATACGTAGATCTTTCGACCCAGCATACCGCCCAAATAGCGCCGCAACGACTTCAAATTCGTCGCAAACAATGATTTCAGAACTGTAATCTGGCAAATTTGTTGGCCATTGGCCAGGATCGACGCTAGAATCGGAACAATAACAGCCGTTTTGCCTTCGCCCATATTCAATTGCATTGTGAAATGCGATTTGGATGAGTTCTCGTCCAACATTTGCTTGGCGATTTCGACTTGAATGCGACGAATAGTAAGATTCTGCTCGATTTCAAAGAGTAACCATTCGGGATATTTGTTTGGTTTCCAGTTTACGTGTGGTTCATTTTCAAGCTCTCGCTCCAAGGCTGGTTTCAATTCAGATTGACCTGAATATGTTGAAATACGACCAAGACGCTGTTTCTTTGCTATTGAAAGTGCCCAGGCACCAATGACCGCTTTCAATCGGCTGTCAGTCTCTTCTGAGATGAGCATTGGCAAAATCAATGTCGGCACGTTTCGAGGACACATTCCGGCATCTACCAAATGGCACGACCTCTCTGAATGCACAATTTTTTCATAGCACCTAAACCAATCAGCAGATGATACATGCGTACAACTAACTGCCGATAGTCCAATAGTCTCCCACACGTATTGAGCCGTTTCTGTCACAACTTCATGCTCATCCAAACTTAGATCAAGCTTTTTATTCAAATTTATTTCATATTTTGACCAATTCCTTTCAGCTGGACAAACGTAATCCTCGAGGTTCGGAAGAAGATTTGGTTGATCCGAACTAAGTGAATCAAGCTTTTCAGTTACTCGATCGATGAAAATTTCGATCTTACGATTGTTGTTCCAGCTGGTTAAGAGTGAATTTATTTGGCAATTTGCTTCTGAAATATTTATATCCTCTGTAGCTGAAATATCCCAATGAGTATAATAAATATCATCAAGTGACACCGTATCGCATGGCCATGCTTCGGTTACTGCTGAACAGAGAACGAGTATGTTACGTTCAATATTATTGTCGTAGTTTTCGCGATCTCCATCTGTCCAGTCCAAATAATATTCGCTGGGGTTTGAATGCCAATCTTTCAAAATTTCCAATATTCTTGACTCATCGAATCGTCTATCCTCTAGACAGCATTTTTCAACGTTTGGCGGATCAATGCTTTTGAATTCCTGTGGATTGGCTGCAATTGTTTGAAGTGCCAAAATCGCATCCATGTCATTTTCATGGTGAGCCAATAAGGTCAAGATCAATGTCAAATGCTCGGAATTCAACATGTTTTTACGAGCTACTTCGTAGAAAGAAATCCATAGTTTACGAAATAGCCCGGGGTTGTTGCGTATATCTTGAACATTGTTCAGAATGTTTTCAACATACTCGGTTTCTACGGCTCCTGGAAGCTCATCGCTATAACAGTCAATCAAAAATCTACGTAAATTCCAATTGATTTCCATGTAATATGACCTGTTGTGGTATAGAGATGCAACAGTTTGTGTATCCGGTGAGAAACTCGTATCCCTTGGCCTCGGAAATGAAGTTACCAGATTTTCGTGACGAATAAATTCGTTCGAAATGCGCAAATTCGGATATAGT